TCCATTCCATTCTTTGCAAACTGTACCAAAACAGAAAGGGCTTTGAAATTAACTGTCCTGACAGTTTAATGATGCAGTAAATTCAAATGGCAAGGCAATAAGTCAAGCATTTAGCACGCTACGTATTGTGCTACTTGTTATCAGCATTGCTAGGATTTTATCTTTTGGATAGGTTTACAGGGTATTGGAAATCAAATTGAGTTTCTTGAGGTATTTGGAAAAAACAGATGGAAAGGTAATGCTTCTGGGTTTAGTTTTGATGCTTGTTTTAATTATAGAATTAACATTTTATAAAGCTAGAAATGTAACAGCACTTTTTCTTCTATGGCGCAACAGCCTGAGGTTGAGCCTCGGCCTCCTCCCATGTGCGAGGTTTCTATGCCCCTTTTCCCCCCCTTTAAGGTGTCGATTGTGTGTTGCAGTAACATGCTGCTAAACCGTCATACTGTCAGGGTTGAAGTCCAGCTGGCAGCCCTGTAGTACAGGGATTTAAATCTCATATTCATACAATGAAAGCTGAATTTTATTTTAATTCCAGGTTATTGGCAGTTCTTTGCTGTTTGTCCATGACAAGACCAATGCCAATGTGTGGCTAATAGATTTTGCCAAGACACTGGTTTTGCCAAATGGTATGTCGATTTCACACTCGCTGAAGTGGGTGGTTGGGAACCATGAAGACGGTTACCTGATAGGACTGAACAATCTGATCAGCATATTTACTGAGATGCATGAAGCAATTCTGGACCCTACATCATCTCCTCTTCCTGCACCCCCTGTGACGACCATCATCACTGCGGCCAGTGACGTTTTAGAAGATGCGAAACTGACGGGTACCGAGAATACATGACCAAGTTAACTCTACTTAGTTTTGACTATGCCATCTTCTGGTGTAACCAACCCATAGACATGTCAGGTGTGAAGCACCAGCTGGTGACTATGTGGCAAAAAGCACCATTTTATAAGTTCGCTTGGTGCCGTGGAATTGAAGGTAAGATTCGGTGCAATCAACGGTGTGATGCAGGAGAAAAGTGTCGAGAGCAGACTTGACTGTGCTGCGCAAAGTGTTCTCAGATGCAATTGCTTAGCTGGGTGGAAATTAAAATTCTTATAGTGGAACGCAAGGTCTTTAAAGTATCGTATAGAGATCATTTGGAAATAAAATCTTGAACAGTATTGCACCAGTTCCACTTGCATTATTTTAAGATGAAGTCACGTAAGTTTCTTGTTGTCTTATGTTACGGTTTTGTGTTAAAACTTGAAATTGTTTAGAAATTTGCTACCACAAATATTCTATACTTTATATCAGGTCTATGAGTGTTATAATAAGGGTTTTGTTTTTATTCTAAAATCCTTCGCATAGTAACTCATACTTGGCGTTGCTTCATTTTTGTTCTTGACAGTTCAAACTTTCCACTGCCAAATCTGGTAAGTTACTGTTTTTATCTGAACTGTCAAGCAAATGAGAAGTTGCATATGAATATTATGTCACAATTTTAATTTTGTGATTATTTCATTTGATTGTGGTTTTCAAATTGTGTGGAGGTTACAGGACATGACTGCGTGGCTTCTGTACGAGACTTGGAGAAATTTACACGAACGGGTAGCGAATCAAAATTTTCTAACATTTTAAAGCAGGAACGTACTTTCTCCAAGCTGAGAAATTATATTGGAACTGTCATGCAGCATTATACAGGGTATGGAAAGAATTTTATGTTGTTCCTCAAGGCTACGCTGGGTGATACTGATTATAATAATTATTTGAATGTTTTAAGAGGAGATGATGTGAAGATACTTGTGATGCTTGATAGTCTGAGAATGTTACTTGTTAGTGTTTGATAAAGTTATTTCCTTCCAGCAAATTGAACAGTATTAGTGACTAGAGTTGGTTTACGCATCTCGAGAAGTGTAATTTCGGTCACTACTAATTTACGAAGATGATGTAGACGAACTTGTATAATAGAATAGCAAACAAGATGTGAATTCTAGCTGGAATTCCCTAAATATAGCTATAGATAGCTGTCTTTTTCATTACATCTTTTAAAATAAAATTTTTAATTATACTCCTGTTTTGTGCGTAATGCCTTTGTTTCCAGATAGAGAGACAGGGCGCACAATAACACCATGGATTGTATGGTATAATTACAGTTCCATATACAGTACAAATAAATAAATAAATAATAAATGAATAAATAGAAAGAACTTGTGCAGTATTATAACCACTTTAAAAATAGATGAATTCTGGATGATAGAATTTGGCATAAAATGTTTGGAACATATTTGAATCTGTGAAAAGATTGTCAGTAGAGTTTATACATGTTTTATATAATATCTGAACTGTCTGAAGTAGTTCTAGGTTTTAATGCCACCTAGATTTATAGGTACATACTAACGTTTTGAAGAAACAGTCTCTATCTCCATTAATCACAAAATCAAAGTCCGCATGGCAGCCTCACAGTACATAAGTTTAAATGCTGCATTAAAATCTGGCAAAGATGAAATTTAACTTATTAATATCTGCTTTTCTATGTGGCTGGTCAAAATTTTACTTTTTAATACAAAATTTGTGATTTGTTACAAGCAAGATGGGACTAACTGTCTTCCTTGTTTCGTTTGGTGCAGACGGTAATTCGTACTGTTATGCTGTTTAAAAATGTTTTCTCTGATCTTTGATGCCCCTTCATTCTGCACAGTCAGATCCTATTGGAATTGAGATTTTGAAGGTTTGCTGTACCATTATTCAGAGTTTGGACTAAACTGTGTTATCTGAAAGGTTCTTAAATTATCTATTTTAAACTGTGAGACAATCAAGAATGCCTAGCTAGTTCCATTAAAATTAAATCCGTGGCGTAACAGCTCCAGAGAGCCAAAGCCGATTAGCTTGACTGCTGGCCTCACGTTCACATGCCTAAGCAGAGGTGGACGAACATCCAACCAGATATAGGGTGACGTGTGGTCAGCACGACGAACCCCCAGCCATTGCTACAAGTTTATTTTGACTAAAATAGCAGTGTAATGGTATTTTGTGTAGATGAACGTGCAGCATAATTCTTAAATGGTATATAGCATTTGAGGTTTTCAAGGCGGTGAGTCTGTCGATTGCTGTCTTCTGGGTTGTTGCACCTCTTAGTCTGGTAGAAGTTTACCGATGTTTCGGAGGTCCTTGCTGTCTCCATCATCAGGGCCCTGCTCCTTTCCATTATCTAGGCAAATGATAGAGTAATGCCTCGAAAAAAATTAGTCATTACCCTGATGATGGAGGCAGCAAGAACCTCTGAGACATCAGTAAACTTCTACCAGACTACAACCCAGAAGACATCCATCTTCTTAAATGGTGTTTGTTGTTTCTTTTGTCCTCAATCTGTAAAGTGTGATTACCCACTTGAATTACAGACCAAACACAAAGTAACTTAAAGACTTTTAAACCACATCAAAATTTGATGATGTTATGTACAGTCACATATGTGGCAGTGTAATATAACCAGGTTGGCTGCTATACTTGCTTATAAATCCATGTTTAAGCTGGTGGAATTCTAGGCAATAGAAGGGAACTAGAAGCTCAGTGTGGGTTTTGAACTGTGATGGATTTTTGTATTGCTCATGCAAGTATTTGCAGAAAAGTCCATACAAGATACAACTGGTCTCAAATCTGAGAAATTTTGCTAGGAATATCACTTGATATTCATAAGTTGCACAGAATACTGGAGAAAGTATTCAGCATATAAAATTTATTACATTTTTTGTGTCATAAAATTATTCTTACTTATTGGGAAAAATAAAAAAAATTAGAACTCAAATAGTTGCATACTATTATGTAAGACATTTTAGTCTTCTGTCAAAAAAAAACAGGTCATATATTTAAAGACATTTCTATATCTAAATTCCTAGATAACAATATGAATGCTTTTTGATTAATCTATATGTTATCAAAGCGAGTATCGGAAGATTTCTTTATGATACCCTTATGGTAGACAATTTCCAGCATTTTTTGAAAATTTCAAAAAATATTTCAAAATTATCCGTACGCGATAACTACCAGAACCAGTCTCTGTCAGAGTCGGTCGTTGCCGAACTGAGCCTCTGCAACACTCAGTCTATCATAGACCCAGTCTCTGCTCCTCTGTCTGTGCCGGACTCAGTGTCTGCAACAACACCCAGTCTCCCCTAGACTCTGCCTCTGCTTCGCCCGGTCTCTGTAGGACTCAGTTTCTAAAACACGGAATCTCTGCTAGATACTGTCTCGGCTTTACACCGTCTCTGCCTCTCTCTCTCTCTCTCTCTCTCTCTCTCTCTCTCTCTCTCTCTCTCTCTCTCTCTCTCTCTCTCTCTCTCTCTCTCTCTCTCTCTCTCTCTCTCTCTCTCTCTCTCTCTCTCTCTCTCTCTCTCTCTCTCTCTCTCTCTCTCTCTCTCTCTCTCTCTCTCTCTCTCTCTCTCTCTCTCTCTCTCTCTCTCTCTCTCTCTCTCTCTCTCTCTCTCTCTCTCTCTCTCTCTCTCTCTCTCTCTCTCTCTCTCTCTCTCTGTGTGTGTGTGTGTGTCGGACTCAGTCTCTGCAACACCCAGACTCTCCTAGACAGCCTCTGCTTCGACAGGTCTCTGCAAAACGAAGTCCCTGCTAGTCTCTGTGTCTACATTACACGATCTCTGCCGGACACGATGTCGCCTCATCCAGGTTTAACGGATCAGGGCCTTTTTAGAGTATCGCAATCATTGAACGTGCCATAAAGAGACCAGAACATGCAGAGACCGTGTCCGGCTGAAATTGGTTTCGTCAGAGAGAGTACAGCAAAGACCGTGATCGGCTGAAACCGAATTTTTGAAGGGTAGTATGGGGAGAAATTTTAAAAAATTAAAACTTTTCAAAATTTTCAAAAAATCAAAATATATTGGGAATCGTCCAAAAAGCGCGCAAAATAACAATTTTTAAAAAAATCCGAATTCCAATTATTTTCAAAAATTCGAATTATTTATAGTTGTTTTCCCTCTTCACGTCATTTATAACCATTTCTGAATTTTTAAAAATTTTCATAGGGGTACATCCTCAAAAATTTTATATAATTTTTTTAAAAAAATAAAAAATGCTGGAAACTGTATGAAAAGCGCCGAAAACTAGAAAAATTTAAACAAATTTAGTTTTGTGCGCTTTTTGGACGTTTTCCTGCATATCTTGATTTTTCGAAAATTTTGATAAAATGTGAAAATTTTGAATTTTTTTTGAAAAATTAATAGATGGTTATAAATGTCGTGAAAAGCGAAAATAACTAAAAAATTTCGAAATTTCCGGAAAACTTTTGCAGTCGGAATTTTTCAAATTTTCTTAGTTTTCTGCGCGTTTTGTACATTTTTCTTCATTTTCTGATATTTCGAAGATTTTGAAAAATTTGAATTTTTTTTCAAAATACTCCTCAATCAGTAGCTGCCAGAACCGGTATCTAGATGACGGTGTCCCTGCCGAACCCTGTCTCTGAACGACCCGGCCTCTGCCTCTCTCTCTCTCTCTCTGTATGAATCGTTCATACTGTGCTCCGACATCGAACATGCCGTCTCTGAAAGGACCTAGTTCGACACGGTGAAGCACAGAACGTATGAGGCAGACACCGAGTCAAGCACAGAGCGAATATGGTTGAAACTGTGTGAGGCTGATACAGTCTGGCAGAGACCGAGTCCAGGAGAGAGCAGTTCTGATAGTTTTAAATTTTTTATTTAGTTTTGTGCGCTTTTTATGCGTTTTCCTGCATTTTTGATTTATCTAAAATTTTGATAAAATTTGAAACTTTCAAAAATTTTGAAAAATTTATAAATGGTTGTAAATGTCGTGAAAAGCGAAAATAACTAGAAATTTTCGTAAAAAAATTTGAAGTCGGAATTTTTCAAATTGTCATAGTTTTCTGCGCGGTTTGTACATTTTTTCATTTTTCGAAAATTTTGAAATTTTTCTCACAATTCTCCCCAATCGGTAGCTGCCAGAAGCGGTATCTAGATGACGCCGTCTCTGCCGCACCCTGTCTCTAAACGACCCGTTTCTGCCTCTCTCTCTGTACGAATCGTTCATACTGTGCCCCGACATCGACAGACCGTCTCTGCAATGACCTAGTTCGACAGACGGTGGAGCACAGAACGTGTGAGGCAGAGACCGAGTCAAGCAACGTCTGGGCGAGGCAAGGCGAAGCAAGGCGAGGCGAGGCCAGGCGTTTCCAGGTTAGGCCAGGCTGGGACAGTCTATTCCAGGCAATGCCAGGCAAACGAGGCAAGACCAGGCAAGGGTATGCAAGGCGGGGCAAGGTGAGGCACGGCCAGGCGAGACGAGGCAAGGCGAGGCCAGGCCAGGCAAAGATAGCCTAGGCCAGGCAAGGCCAAGCCAGGCAAGGGTAGCCTAGGCCAGGCAAGGCCACGCAAAGCCAGGCGACGCGAGACGAGACGATGCCAGGCGATTCCAGGGTAGGCCAGGCTGCGACAGGCTATTCCAGGCAAGGTCAGATAATATCAGGCAAGGGCAGGCTAAGATAGGCAAGGCGAGGAAAGGAGAGGCAAGGCGAGGCCAGATGAGGCCAGGGGGTGCCAGGCGATGCACGGCGAGGCCTCGTCTGGCCTCGCCCTGCGCGCCTTGAATCGCTTTTTCCTGGCATTGCCTCGTCTGGCCTTGCTTCGCCTGGCCTCGCCGTGCCTTGCCTTGCATCGCCTGGCTTTTCCTCGCCTCGTCTGGCCTCGCATTGCCTCGGTTTGAATCGCCTTTCCACTCCTTACCTCGTCTTGCCTTGCCTCTCCTGGATTGTCATCGCCTTGCCTCGCCTTGTCTCGCCTTCCCTCGCTTTGCCTTGCCTCGTCTGGCCTCGCCTTTCACGGCCTTGCCTCGATTGCCTTGCACCGCCTTGCCTCGCCTGAATTAGCCTCGCCGTGCCTCGCCTGGCCTGGCCTCGCCGTGCCTTGCCTCACCTCGCCTTGCATCTCCCTGCCTCGCCATGCTTCGCCTTGCATCGCCTGGCTTTGCCTCTCCTCGTCTGGTCTGGTCTCATCTTACATCGCCCTGCCTCGCCTTGAATCGCCTTTACTGGCCTCACCTCGTCTTGCCTTGCCTCGACTGGATTGTCATCGCCTTGCCTCGCCTTGCCTTGCCTGGATTTGCCTCGCCTCGTCTGAAATCATCTGGCCTCGTCTTTCCTGGCCTTTCTTCGCTTGCCTTGTCTCGCCTGGCCCCGCCTTCCCTCGCCTTGACTCGCC